AACCAGATTCAATTTGTATGGCATTTTGAGTTCAGTTGAGATTGGCTGAGGAACGCTCATAAGTTTAAGCAAGAGAAAGCTTGTACCTCCCCCGGTTATTCATCCAGATTTTTCAGGAAACACTATTTTTGGAAGAAGGAGTGTAACAATTTTATTTTTTTCACTCTCAGGGAGGTGTTTGCTGCGTGGGGATAATAGGCATTGTGGTGCAATTTATTTGGAAGGTACAATGTTGGAGAAAGCTGCTATATAGCAGGACAGACATCCCTGTCTTCAATGCTGTTTGGTTTAGTGCCAAGTAATCACCACCAAATTATTACTAAAATGTATATATAAAGCCATTGAGGTATTTACTTAAAAGGTCAATGAGGTGAGAAAGGCTCGGAACAGCTACTGAGAGCTTCTCTCAGAGGTAGAAGTTGTTCTCATGCTAAGGAGAATCGGCATCTTAAATTTTGTTCATAGTCACAGAAGCAGGAGTGTTAAGAGCAGAGATCTTTCTGCTACAATTCCACTTTTGTGCAAGTGGTTACAAACAGAAGAAACAAGCTGGCCTTTTCTCTGTGAGAATGTACGTATCCATCTCCTGCTTCTCCACAGAATATAAAGCAGCATGGGTGTTTCAACCCCTCCCTCCCCCCCAAGTTTAAAGCTAATCAATATGGTCCTAAGTCAGAACAGGTTATCCATTTGACCAACACGATTTTACCTTTCTTGTGGCGTAAAACTAACACCAGGGTCATAAAGTGAGCCTCTGGATCAGTATAGACTTTGCCAAAACCCAGAAGTGCCTGTTTTCAGCAAAAGCATGATGATGTGAGTCATGTGACTGCAGGATACAACCAACAGCTGTAAATATGGGCTGGTTGCCTAGTGCCTGATATATTATAAGGTGACCAATTGTCCTCCTTTAGGGAGGACAGTCCTTCTTTTATAAGTTCTGTCCTCTCTATATGTCCTCCTTTTCGATATTTGAAGACTAATCTGTAAATCTCCGTATTCGATCGATGCCGATCTGATCCGTTGCGTGTGATGTGACGTATTTGTATTTGACATGACGATTCATCAAGGCTCAGTACAGTGCGGCGAGATGCAATTATGAGACGCATGCGCTCCGCACAGGAGAATTGTTTTGAGAGAGTGCGCGGCGCGCAAGTGGCTTTGTTTACTTCTTACTGAAACACGACACGGCACACACACACACATTAGACTCACTTTTTTTCTTCAATTTATTTGTGTCCTCCTTCTCATTGTAAAAAAGTTGGTCACCTTAGATGTATAGTTACATGACTGGGGGTGGGCCCTCATTGTCCTAACTTTGGAACCAGGGCTTAAATCGAGGACTACCTGTATTTTATTCTCATGACAATCCTGTGAGGTGGATTGTGCCCCAGTTTATTCAGTAAGCTTGGTGGCCAAAATGGGTATGTCTGGACTCTCCCCAATTCTCTAACCAAGATAGGTGAAGATGTGTGCTTACATATCAGTGGTGGGATTCAGCCAGTTCGCACCACTTCGACAGAACCAGTAGCTAATTTCTGTTGCCCAGGCCCAGAATGGACTTCCGGAAGCGGCATCCACACAGATAACCGTTTGTTCACATATTTAAATCCCATCAATGTTACATATCCTTTGTGATCCAACAATAACTAACCATATTTAAAGTACACTTCTGCACCCAAAGCAGCAGTGCAGAAACTGTCCAATTGGCATGCCTGCTACCAGGCAGTAACAGCCCATCCCCACCCTTCCCAAAACCAAGCTCAGCTAAGCCCAGCCCACCCAAAATGTATGAGTTATTGATATCCTGCCTCTGCCGGAAAATCCAAAGGACCCCTCAGTCCTCCCAACCTACCAAAGCCCAGGCTGATCAGCACAGACCGTACCTTACCAGCATCCAAAATGGCCTTCCAGGCACTGGTTGGCCACATCAAATTCCTTCCTGGGTGTAACAGAGCTCCCAGCTGGTTAGTTTTGCCATATCCTGCTTTTTTTGAGAATGTGCCAGTCTCCAAAGCCACCGTGCCTTTTTCAGAGGGAAAGCTAACCAGAATTGTGTAGTGAGAAAAAGAAAAATCTGCTGCTGAAGGAGGAAGCTAGGTAGCTTTTGCAGCAATAAACAATGAGTAGGGCCAAAAGCCACTTCTGGTCGGTCCCTGCCTGGATTTTGATGCTCAACCATACTCCTGCTTAAAACTCAGCTTGCGTGGCAGCTTGATATATATAAGCAGCAATCAAGGCAAGGCTGCACAAAGTTCCCAACATAGGCAAGAAACTATGAGTGAGTCAAAAACCAAAGACCTCCTAATGAGGTCACTTCATTAAAATGTGTGTGTGTGTGGTTCACCTTATCCAGCCAGGGTTTTTTTGCACTTTCCTGTCTGTCCAGTCATAGCCAATCTCCCACACACAATCAAACTCAGATTTTTTTTTAAAAAAAGCTAAAGGTGTAGCTAGTCCTCAACTTATGGCCATAATTGGGACCAGAATTTCTGTTGCTAAGAAAGAGGGGTTGTTAAGTGAGTCATGCCAGGTTTTACGGCCTTTTTTGAGCTGGCTTGACACAGCGACCTTCCATCTGGGAAAGTCACAAATGGTGATCATGTGACCATGGGACACTGCCTGTAAATACATTTTGGTTGCCAAGCACCCAAATTTTGATTAGATGTTGTGCTAGTTGTAAGTCACTATTTCAGTGTCGTTGTAACTTTCAACAGTTGCTAAATGAAAGATTGTTAAGTTGAGGATTATCTGTATGTGACCCAACAGCTACTAAAATGGGGCAGAGGAGGGGGGGCAGAATCAGAATGTGCCTCTGAAAGCGCCTGGCAAACAAACGCACAAGTGAGGGACTTATTTCATCAAAGCTGCAGATAGAAATGCGTGCATCCAATGAGAAAGAAAACAATTTAAAGGAGGCCTTTGACTTTCCATCACTTTATTTTGTAAAAATAGAAAAGTCCCCCCCCCCAATCTGCGGCACAGCTGGGAGTGCAGGGGCAGGGGAGAGTCCTGTAAAATACCATGGAAAGCTGGTTATGTAAACATCAAAGAAGGGCCTCACCCTTTTTTTTTTTCTTCTCCCTTTTCTATCCCACCCCACCACAAACAGACTCCATTTTAAGGCCCAGGGGTATTTATTTTGACAGCTTATTTTAGGGGGGGGGGGAAACCAAGACCATTCAGCCCGGAGGCTCTGTTCCTTGGTGCGCTGCAATCTGTCAACACTTGCTCTGCAGAGGGAAGGGCCAAGCTCTAACTCCCTTTACTACCCAATCCCTGGTGTAAACATAAGTCAATAAATAAAATCTCCTCAAGGGTTGCCCTGCTCATGGCCGGCAAGGGAAAGAAAGCAGCATCTTGAGCTGCAGAGGTTGCTAACTTATTCCACCCTGCAGCCTCTCCCAGAGGCAAAGTGACCCCCCTCTTCTTTTCTCCCCCATGAAGGCTTTCCAGAGGAAGAGAAGAAAGGGAGGTCAGGACAGAAGAGGAGCTGGTAATGGCAAAGCACTAAGCAGAGGGCAATAACTTGATGTAACAACTCCTTCCTTCCTTCCTTCCTGCCCCACCCCTACCCCCACCCCCCCAGTGTTGTAGTGTTTGGGTTTTTACACATTCCTATTGCTGGGGCAGGAGAGGCTTTGCGGAGGAGACTTTTGCCCTCTAGCGATAAGGGAAGAGAGCTTTTGCTGGGCTTGGGTTTTGCCCCTGGAGTTGTGAGAGAGGAGCAAAAATGGCTCCTCCTCTCAGCCTGGGGGAGGGAAATCAAGCTTCCTGGAGCTGAAGTGGTCCTCCTGCTCCATCAAAGTGCTGCAGAAAGAGAAGTAAAGGCAAGTTAAGGCAAGCCGTGACCACCCACCCGGCTTGCTTTTATCATCCTAGAGGGTGACTCACTTCTCCTTGACAAGGGCAGAAGGGGGCCCTGAGAGACAGCAAACAGGTTCAAGTCTGTAACTCTGCACCCCCCACACCGCCCCTTATCTTCATGATATCTTTGGTATCTAGTGTCCTTTGGGGTCTGTTTCCCAGAATTCCTAGCACCGGGGTCATAAGCATCCCAAGCAACAGATACAACCCCCAACCCACCCCAACCCTGCTATACCTCTGCCTTAGGATGGGGAGACAAGAGGGAAGGAACACTGCCCCTCCCTAAATCCCACTATGGGATCCACTCTCTGCCCTGCGATAATAACACATTAGCACTTTATAAAGCTAACCAAAAGGAGCCCCTCCCCCCCAACAAGAATTGGCATAGCTTGCCGGAATCCATCAGAGATGGATATTAATACAGGCACACCCTAAGGCGACACGTATAGGGATGCCTACGTAGAAGTCCTGCCTTTATCTCTCCATTCCCCAGCATTATTGGTCCAAGGTCTCTTGTGTGCAATGGGGAGACGAAGGGCTGTATGTTCCTCTGTTGGTCTTCAGATTCTTGAATAAATAGCATCCCAGGTGCCTGGGCTCTTGGCTTGCAAGGCAGAAGAACTTTAGACTGGGTTAAAGGAGGAACCAAGAAACCACTCATTAGAGTCTCTGTCGGCTCTTGGGATGCCTCTTTTCTCAGAGGCCAGTTTTTTTGGGGGGGGGGAAATTGCACATCTGGAGCTCATCCCATTTCGAAAGTTGTAGCCCCTTTGGGGCTTCCCAGGTTCTGAAACATTTGGCTTGAAGCTGCTTGACTCATCCGGACAGGCAACCTGGGGGGGCTTTGGCAAAGCTCTGGGGTTGGGAGAAAAGGCTTCTGAATAGACATCCAAGGCCCCAAAGAAAAAAGATTAAGGCAAGAGGCATCCAGCCCACGTCACCAAACACAGAGGAGAAGAGAGGAACAGGTTGCGGCTGCCTCCTAGCTCATCTTGAGTGCCGTCCTGATGCCTGACTCTGGCAGATGAACCAAGAGCAGGAAAGGCAAGCCTAAAACTGTGTCCAGGAGGAAACGGGCCACGGGAAGGCAGAGATGAGACGCAGAAAGCCATCTTCTCCCAGCCTTTCTCAGCCTAGATCCAGGCTTTCTTTTGAGGTGCTAGGGGGCCTCCTCTGGGCTTTTGGTGTCAGCTGGGCTCTCCTCAGTGCTCGGGGCTTCTGCCGAAGTTGGAGGTTGTGACAGCTCATCTTCAAACATTTCAGGATTTTCCAGCATCTCTCGGATGAGTGGTGGCATGGGACCAGGGATCTCCATCTTCAAGGTGATGGCCCGTTCAGCACCTGTTGAAGAGGAGAAGAGGGAAATGGGTAGCATTGGCAGATGGGAGTTTCCCCATGAAGCCCGTCAGGTAATAAGAGGGGCTGCATTATTCTTCACCAAGAACAGTTGCCACAAGCTTCTCATTGATACTACAGGTAGTCCTCAACTTACAATAGTTCATCTAGTGACCATTCAAAGTTACAATGGCACTGAAAAAAAGGGACTTATGACCATTTTTCATACTTATGACTGCAACAGCATCATCATGGCTCATGTGATCAAAATTCAGACGCCTGGCAACTTGCTTATATTTATGACGGCTGCGGTGTCCCGGGGTCATGTGTGATCACCTTTTAGTGAACTTCTGACAAGCAAAATCAATGGGGAAGCCAGATTCACTTAACAACCAGGTTATTAACCTGACAACTACAGAGATCCACTTAACAACTGTGGCAAGGAGGGCCGTTAAATGGGGCAAAATTCACTTAACAAATGTCTCACTTAGCGACAAAAAATTTGGGCTCAATTTTGATCAGAAGTCGAAGACTACCTGTACTGCAAACTCAGAGCAGCTACCAATGTATCTTGCACTTCAGTTTACACATTGGCTGTCTGCACATATATCCAAGACTCTTCATAACCTCTGTGGAAGGAACCAAAAACTTTAAGTGAAGGGGTTATATCAAAGCTCTCAAGGAAGTGCTTGCAGGGGACAACTCCTCCTTTCCCCCAAAGCTTTTGGAAGAGTCCTTCCATAGACCACCAATTACAGGATATGCTATGAGCAAGAGGCAGAGTCAACCAGATCAGTAGGCTTGCGCCACACTGCAGCAAGCAAAATAGTGACAGCCATTAAAAATAGTACCCAATTATCTCTCTTCTACCATAAGTCTCTGGTTCCTAGAGTGAGATACAGTATTTAGAAACTGCTTCAGGCATCTCAGGAGTGCCCCATGGCCAAAACTTCAAATATATACACCCAGCTCCAATGATCTTACGCTCCCAAATGAGAATGTTCTGTTTTACCTTTGGTACTGATCCCCCGCAGGTCAGTAATTTTCATTAGCATGCGGGGAAACATGTAAGGCTTGTTGGGCCGACGTCGGCGCGCATAAATCTTCAGTGCTTCCAGCAACGGTTCCTGTAACTTATCTACCTTTTCCGGTTCTTCCAGGTCCATTCGATCTGTGGGGAAAAGAAAGACTATGATGTGTTTGTTCTGCTGCTGTGAACATGCTAGGCTGTCCTTGACTGTTTCACGGAATACACAGAATGCCAGTTTTCATCTCCTGATGAGCATCCTTAATCCTTGTGGATTGCAGGGCAAGAAAAAAAAAACCATAAACCAGTGGTGGCGAACCTATGGCACATGTGCCAGAGGCGGCACTCGGAGCCCTCTCTGTGGGCACATGTGCCATTGCCCTAGCCTTGCCTCCTCCCGTGACCCCCTCACCAACAGCCCCCCTGGAAGAGAGTCGCCCCCGAGCATGGCCCACACAAAGCAGCGCAGCCAAGGACATGGCAGCGTAGACAAGACTCTGCCCTCACACCCCATCATGCACAGTTGATGCTGCAGGGTGTGGGCAGAGGGCATGGCCGCAATGGTGCTGCTGGGCTGCCTGGGCAATCTGCGACGGGCCCTGGAGGTGGTGAGTGGCCCTCCGGGCAGGTGGGGTGGGGGCGGGGCAGGGGGTGGAGCAGGGGCGGAGCCAGTTTTTGGGCACTCGGTCTCTAAAAGGTTCGCCATCACTGCCATAAACAAACCCCTAAAACAATTAAGTAATAGGAAGCCTCTTAGATGGGGTTTCTGCTTGACCAAGCTCCAGATAAAGATATTTCACTGTTGTCCCCTTTTTGTCATTACATACTGGTTTTTTTTCCCTTTCATAAGAGGGAATGGGATCCTAATACCATGTCAGGAAAGAAAGAAAGAAAGAAAGAAAGAAAGAAAGAAAGAAAGAAAGAAAGAAAGAAAGAAAGAAAGAAAGAAAGAAAGAAAGAAAGAAAGAAAGAAAGAAAGAAAGAAAGAAAGAAAGAAAGAAAGGAAAAGAAAAGAAAGCTGGATTTTATGCTCCATCTAGTCCATGAGGAGAGAAACTGGGTGGATGATTTCTCCAGGGGACAGAGAAATTCTCCCACACATTTTCAAAGGCAGACCTCTGCAGATGAATTGTAGCATTGCTCCTGAAAACATCTTGTAAAAGGACTTCTTAGTAATGTCTTCCCCAGAGACTGGATTGATGGGCATTGAAGCGAAGGTAGAAGTGACTGTATAAGAAAGCACAGCACATTCACATCCATGCCCACTCTCCACTTCTTCACTACATCTTTCAAAACTTATCTGTTCATGACCAACTACCTTCACCCACGAAGTAATTTCTAAAGCAAATTCTCTGTCATCAAAATAAATGAAACCTGATAGAAAAAATATGAAAGAACACAACTCTGTTTATGTAATCATATATACGGATTGGTTTGTCTAGGGCACATGACTTTCCCTCCTCCTCCTCCTTTTAATTTAGAAATTATTTCATTTTAATTGCTACTAGTTTTTAGACTTTGCAGTGGTCCACGCCAATGTTTTTCCTACTTCATTCCTACAGATCTACGATGACATCAGAGATTAGACTGGCCCCCACT